CCTTTTCCTAAATCACCATTTTCCATACATTACTTCACTGGTCAAACACAAAACATTTAACCAAGGCTGCAACGCTTCAAATTTGAATAATATTTTGAAACTACCTTGAAGGTTTTATTCATGATCAGTGCTTTGTGTGTTGACCAGTGAACTTATATAGAAAGGAGTGAATAGCCAACTTTAGATATTCTGGTTGAGTGATCAAGGACAAAACAATCTGCGTCGAGGCTCCGGGGAAACGAAAGAGTAATTACGATTACGCTACAGTTTCCCCGGAGCCTCAACTCGGATTGTTTTGTGCTTGACTACTCGTATAGGGTTATACTATAACATTAGGCTAGAATGCACGTTTGTTACCTTCATCAAAGACCATAATTTCAACTAAAATCCAAAGCTCTAGTGGGTATCCTCAATTCTTTTCATCCTTGGGCTACCAGGCCCTTCGCATTCGAAAGCGCATGCGTAGAAGTGGATTAATATTTTAGATAAACTACTTACTTGTGGATAGGTACTCCATGTCGTGCCGTCCATACTGTATTGTAATCTGTACTGCGTCACCCATTGATCAGCGTCATATCGACCTTGGGTCGCAACGGCTGTGACTCGTTTGATTGCATTGAAGTTCACTTTGAGCCATTGTCCGTTATTATTGGTTGCTGCGCACCATGCACCATATGATTCAATTTGCGCATTGGCGTTGTTGTTGGGCTGTTTGTTGAGGCGGCCGTTGTGAGGAGCGCACAGACCGTTGTGAGATGAAGATGCTGTCATGAAGCTATTGGGGATGGTCAGCTTGGAGGTAACACCCAATGATCTTGCGCAATCTACAAGAAAAAGGAAAATATGTGACGCCTGTTTGAATAAAAACATGACAAAGCTCAGGTCGATTGGCTCTGAAGGCACACCCTTCATTATATATATACTATATATATACATACACTAATACTACAGTTTCGAGTTTTCTGATCCTCAGGGTTAGCCTCGTTATGTGTAGAATATTCACTTGTCCCAGTGAAGGTCCCAGGAGTTCAAAAAGTGTTTGTGATGTTGTAAGTCGTGTATTCTTGTATTAGTGAATATTGGTATTAATGAATATTCCGGCTAGACACCTGAGTAAATGAGTATTGGATGAATTCCAAAATGGTCAATTCTGATCTAGCTTTACTATGTTTGTGGATTTATGGCTTTCTCAATGAAGCCCATCTTTTGAGTCCAACCCATTTCCTTTTTTGTGCTTTGGTCCGTTTACTTACTCAGTTCATAATAGTTGAAAGTAGCACTTGCGTCTCTCTGTACAAGGTTATCTGCTGAATGCTTTGCACTCAAGTAGCACTTCTTTGTTCTGGTGTTGAAGTCGAACGATCGACAGAGGAACGAAGAATGAGAATCACAACTTGCGGCGCAAGCCTCGGGCGAGGTGGACGACATAACTGCGTTGTCGTGGGATGGGATGCTGGCATTGTAGATCACATTTGTGTACCTTAGAATGTTTTGGACTGTCAAGACATTAAAAAATATATATTAATATAATTCGGATTAGCAGGATTCCTAGAGTTTCAGCTCAATACAAAATCATGATCATGATCATCATTACTATCATGTATCATCATCATGTATCATCATCATGTATCATCATCATGTATCATCATCATGTATCATCAT